CCCCCGTAACCAATTCTATCGACTCGAATCTTGGTCTTCCCTTCAGGAAACGACCCACGTCGTGGAATATAAAATAAAAGAAAGTCTCGCGTGGAGGAAAAGTTTACCCTCCCCGAGCTACGGTATGTTGCGGTTTCCGTGCTATCGTCGCCGCGCGAATAATGAAACGCGTCGATAACTAATTCATGGNTGTTGAATTTTTAATGTAATCGAGTTATATGTGTTGTTGATTATTGGACTTGGTTTTTTATTATTCTTTTTTTTTTTTATATTAAAGTATCTCGAATTTTTTCTTTTTTTTTTAAATATTTTAAATTTTATTTCTAGTTATTTATTTTATATTAATGAAAATGAGGTTGTTATGATAATTATAATACGAAGAATCGAAGATCGTTATTCGCTTTACAAGGATAATATTAATGCGTTCTTAAAAATAGCTGGTAGAGAGAGAATAAAAATTCTATTTTTCATTTTAATATAACTGATTTATTGCTTTGGCTAGCAGCCAGGATATTTACCTACTTTTTCGTTTCATTTTTTTTTTTTTTTTTTTTTTTCTTTTTCCCCTGTTATGTTTATATTCGACGATAAAATCGATTCCAGCAATTCCTGAAATAAAAATAGCATAGATTCGTTAAATAAACGTCATTAATTATACATTCAATTAAAACAATTTATTCATATTTTTTCAAGGATTTGCATTCGATTTTTTGCAAAGTTTTTTTTTAAAATGGCGTTTTAAAAATATGCAACAGAGTTAAATAACAAATTTCGTTATTACAAATTGTTGTTTTTGATCGATCATCGAGTCTTTTATTAGAGAGCTGAACAAAGTTGCAGATTCGTTGTTGAATGTAAGTTCTATAAACGCTTGAAACAATTATGCAATCACTGGTGACGTAAAACTAATTTAAAACATCTCGAACGTAGCATTGCAACTTGTACAACAAAATGTTTCGAGAATATTTCCCTCGTAATAGACGTCGAAATGTTAATAGGAAATAGAACGTGCACTCAAAAAAAAAAAAAAAAAAGAAAAAAATAGAATTAAAAACAGAATTTTTCAATACTATATTAAAAATTTAAATACTAAATTAAAAATTTCGATAAATAATTATAACACATAATTTTTAAACAATAAATATACTCAATGAACAAGATAGAAATAATATAATACAATATTAATATGCGTTAACATCAAATCAATTCTCGAACGATCTCACTTAACCTAAAAAACCACTTCATTCAAAAGTCAAGCACAATTTTTCTTAGTTCTTCCATCACGAACATGTATAACCTAATCACAGCAACGAAAGACTCTCCAGGGGTTCAAAGTGGCACTTTCCCTTTCAGTCTCCATTCCATCCCCATTCCCCCTTAAATTACACATTGCCACTACCAGCAACCACCTTTCGTATTTGACATTTAATTCTCGTCACTATTGGTTTATGTATCATCGTATCCTTATAGGAATAAAACTTGCACATTTCTTTTATCTTTTTTTTTATTAGATTAAATTTTTGTTACATTAATTCTCGTTTATCCAAGCTCTTAATTTTATATCGATTTTATAGATCGAAACAAAATTTGTTGTAAAATATCAATTGACGTTTATTTATTCAGTTATTTATTAACCAATTGAATTAAGTGAAGCGAGATAGATATATAACAGATATATGATAAGAGTGAGAAGAAGAGAGATCGTTCTATCTTCTTTCTGCTGTAAGAATCGAATTATTCTAATCTAAAACAGATTTTCTTTTTCTTTCCTTATTAGACGTTTAATTATCACCACTTTTCATTTGATATTTCATTTTTATCTTCATTGTTTTGCATATTATCAACACACGATTATCTTGAAAAATTAACAGATTTCTCTTCCCAACTTTCTCAGGTTAAGTGGACCGATTGTAGCGCCACTCGACGAGAGAAGGATTCGTAAGATTCGTTAAGTGGGGGGAAAAAAAATACCATCTTTAGGAAGTTTTGCCCGCGCGAAATGCGATTAAACGTCGTTACGGAAACGTCCAGAGCGTTTCTTGTCTTCCATGAAAGGAAGTTTCATCGGTTCGATGCCCTACTTTAAAGGCTCGAGTTCAATCGTGCGTGCGACTTTCCCTCCCCCCCCTCTCTTTCGTTTCGACAGTGGCTTTATTTCGCCGCAAAATCGATGCAACAGACGCGTTTATTTTAGCCGAAATCCCGCGAATATTCTATCCGCTCTGATAATCGCGGATACGAAGAGATAAATTTCGTTCGAATTTAGCGTTAACTTTGTTATATTTCAAATTGGACGTCTTTGATGATATAGTTGTTTCTTTTATTTTATTTCTTTTCCCTCGAATTGTACGCGTTTTCGAATATTTTTATTTAAATTTTCTTTTTATACAAAGATGCGATTATTTGAAACATTAACGAGTTTTCTCTGCGGAGATTTTGCAAATTTTTTGATCCGGCAAATGTTCGTTTCGAAAATTGAAACGCAATTCAATGGCTTATGACAGATTGAAATTAGAATGATTTGTACAACTTGATGAGCCAAATTCTGCCGATTTATCAAACAATAAATGTTTTTTCCAGATTATTCGAGAACGAATATAATTTTGGAGATGAAAAATCTTCGATACGTTTAATCAACTCGTTCGTTTGTTGTTGTCATATCGAGTCAGAAACATGAAGGATCAATCAATTTATTCTTCAGTGGAACGAATTGCGGGGAATAATTTTCGCCAAATTTTCATCGTATCTATCGTCTAATCTTTCCTAACTAACCCACCATCCTTAAT